AAAATGTTCTAATAAAAATAAACTACTTTTTTTAGCTAAATAATCTAATTGGTTTGGTTTATATGGATATATTTTTTCAGTATAAAAAGTATTAAATGCTTGATTATTATATATATCTAATAAATATAATTGTTCAATAATATGATCTGCAGTATAATTAATATTAATATTTGCTTATAATCTACTATGAAAATTTTTAACAAAATAATCATTAAAATTAACTAAAGATTGTGATATAATATTTGCTAAAGGATGATTAATTTGTTGCCAATAAAGTTAATCTGATATAAAAGCTAAAGGTGCTTTGTTATAATTTTTTCTTTTCCATCATAATGCAAATATCCATAATCGAAATAAAGTATCAAAATATTGATTAAAATGTCCAGATCTAAAAAGAATTGCATATATATCTAAAGTTGCCAGTACTAGATTATCTAAAAGATCTAATATTATTCTATATTCTATATCTGTACAATTATTTCCAAATTTGAATAAAATTTTTTGAGATATTTTTTTCTATCTATTATGAATTAATTCAAGTAATAAATTAATTTTCCAAGGTTTAGGTTTTTTTGAAATATTTTTTCACCAAATAAATAATGAAAAAATTTTTTAAAAAATGAATAATGAACAAGAATAACTTGTTCTTGAAAATTTAAAGAAATATGAAGAGGTCCAATAATTGGAATAAAATTACTAATATTTTCAGGAACTATTAAAGAATTAAAATCTGGTGTATTAACTTTTTATAATAGTATATTAAAATTTTTTAAATAAAATATTGTCCTGGCCAATTAGCAATTATTGGTCTAACATTTTCTTGAAGATATGGATGAAAAGATTCTATTGAAGTAATCATTTTTAATACATCTAAATAATCATTTGTCGATTTTAAATTTTGATTTTGTATACCAATTATTTTAATATTTTTTATTGATCTTTCTTCTTTACGCTCACTTATTGCATCATCATATATATGTATAGTAAGTAATTCAATTTGATTTTGATTTTTAAATTGAATATTATTAGTTATCCAATTAAATTTTTGTATATTATAGCTTATATTAAATGAACCTTCAATATTATCATATAAATATCTTATAATAGATAATTTTTCAATATTATTTGAATTAAAAAATGAGCAATTTTTAAATAAATTATTATTTATAATTGCTAATACTAGACTCATATTAATAATTAGTTTTGCTACACATGTTGCTATATGATTTATAGTACTAAGTAATATTGTATTTGGTTTACGTATTTTATAAATATCATAAAAATTATCAATATTAAAACAATAACAGTCAACCGATTTGTCACACTTATTTGCATCTAAATTTTTTATATATAATATTATAATAAAAACATATAGAATTACTTATAAGATATAGGCAAATCACTAACTCTTTCCAATAATCACTTGTACCAAATTTTTCTTGAAAACAATTGTTATTTCTCAATATTTTATTAAGTAAACCACTTTTGGCTGCTTAAGTAAAGTTGTTCCACACTTAATTTTATTTATAAGTAGCCTAGTTTTATAGCTCTAAAGCTCCTCTTTACTTAGTACTATAAATCATATAGCAACATGTGTAGCAAAACTAATTATTAATATGAGTCTAGTATTAGCAATTATAAATAATAATTTATTTAAAAATTGCTCATTTTTTAATTCAAATAATATTGAAAAATTATCTATTATAAGATATTTATATGATAATATTGAAGGTTCATTTAATATAAGCTATAATATACAAAAATTTAATTGGATAACTAATAATATTCAATTTAAAAATCAAAATCAAATTGAATTACTTACTATACATATATATGATGATGCAATAAGTGAGCGTAAAGAAGAAAGATCAATAAAAAATATTAAAATAATTGGTATACAAAATCAAAATTTAAAATCGACAAATGATTATTTAGATGTATTAAAAATGATTACTTCAATAGAATCTTTTCATCCATATCTTCAAGAAAATGTTAGACCAATAATTGCTAATTGGCCAGGACAATATTTTATTTAAAAAATTTTAATATACTATTATAAAAAGTTAATACACCAGATTTTAATTCTTTAATAGTTCCTGAAAATATTAGTAATTTTATTCCAATTATTGGACCTCTTCATATTTCTTTAAATTTTCAAGAACAAGTTATTCTTGTTCATTATTCATTTTTTAAAAAATTTTTTCATTATTTATTTGGTGAAAAAATATTTCAAAAAAACCTAAACCTTGGAAAATTAATTTATTACTTGAATTAATTCATAATAGATAGAAAAAAATATCTCAAAAAATTTTATTCAAATTTGGAAATAATTGTACAGATATAGAATATAGAATAATATTAGATCTTTTAGATAATCTAGTACTGGCAACTTTAGATATATATGCAATTCTTTTTAGATCTGGACATTTTAATCAATATTTTGATACTTTATTTCGATTATGGATATTTGCATTATGATGGAAAAGAAAAAATTATAACAAAGCACCTTTAGCTTTTATATCAGATTAACTTTATTGGCAACAAATTAATCATCCTTTAGCAAATATTATATCACAATCTTTAGTTAATTTTAATGATTATTTTGTTAAAAATTTTCATAGTAGATTATAAGCAAATATTAATATTAATTATACTGCAGATCATATTATTGAACAATTATATTTATTAGATATATATAATAATCAAGCATTTAATACTTTTTATACTGAAAAAATATATCCATATAAACCAAACCAATTAGATTATTTAGCTAAAAAAAGTAGTTTATTTTTATTAGAACATTTT